TAAACACGATACAGGCCACAGTTATGGACCAATCTTCACGAAATTTTGCATGTGGGATGGGTTCTGGCCAATGAAGACCCCTATTGTTTTTGGGAAAGATCGGTTAATATTTAGGGGATGAAATGGACCAAATACTAAATTTTTGTCGGTTTTTCTGGTCGCTCCAGAGAATAAGCATGCATGTTTTGATAAAGATCGGTCAATATTTAGCGGGTCAAATGGACCCTGACGTTTGTGTGAAAAATGGCAAAATGTGTATTCTATGGCATATATATTTACCCCTGAAGGACATATACCCGAGAAGTTGATATTATATCCAAGAGGAGTGGTTGACCTTTAAATTAAGACCAATTATATTGTTGTATGTGCTCGGATCAGAGAGTTACACCTAAATATTTACAGGTATCTCCGTATTTGTATATTATTTAGTAACCCATTATCACTCTGGAGAGCTGAACTATAGCGCTGATCGCTTTGAAATGTTCCATGAGGTTCCAGTTATGGTCAAGGACAACGCCTATAATTTTCGGTGATGACCAGATAATAATTTTGGAATGAAGTGGACCGAAAACTTAATTTTTTGTGTTATTTTCGAGTCGATCTATAGACCACCAATGAAAGCCGAACATCGCAACACAACCCACGGTGAAGGGAATCTGGACAATAGCTGTACTGAATACTAGTAATATTCGGAAAAGTGTGAGGAAGAGGTGTTGTTTACCTCTAATCGGGCAAGAGGGTGCAAATATCACGAAATATTGCCCGGGCTCGGAATAAACATCCGAAAAAAATTTGAGTTCCGTGGTAGTTGTGTAGGGTATCGTATGGTCGGCCCCGTCCGACTATACTGCTCCGCTCACTGGTTTAGAAATGTTTTATTTTTTATATAAAACAAATTTGTATATAAAAATATATTTTTTATATTATATGACAAATTTTATTTTTTATAAACAAGTACTATTTTTTAAATAAATTTTTATTAAAAAAACACTATTTTTGATGATCTATGTTTTTTTAATTTTTAATAGAAAAATTTATTTTTCTTATAAAAAAACATATTTTTCTATTAAAAAGGTATATTTTTAAATAAAATATATAGATCATCAAAAATATATATTTTTTAATAAAAATATATTTAAAAAAAAGTAGTATTTGTTTATTAAAAATAAACTTTTTTATATAATACAAAAAATAAGATTTGTCATATATTATATAAAAAAAAAATATATTCTTATATAAAAAAATTGTTTTTATATATTTTTTATAATTTTTTTAAATGATATATTATTTTCTTTAATTTAAATTTTTTTAATTACCCCCTTTATTATATATTTTTTATACATTTAATTGTGAATGTTTGATTTGTGTTATTTTTAATTATTATTTTTTTAATATTTATAAAAATGTTTGTTAACAAAAAAAAGAGTTATGTGTAAATTCTTAAGGAATATTTGTTTACGTCTTTGTTGTTAATTTTTTCTATTTGTTTGATTTGATTTAATAAATGTTTAACTTTTTTCCATAGTTGCATTCATGATTTTTTTTAATATTAGTTATGATTTTTATTATAATTAATATTTTTATTTATTTATTTTTTTTGTTAAATACATTACACAAAAGGAGATAGCATTTGTTTTTTTCATGATTTTTTTTTGCCTTTACTTACTTTCCAGGGAGGATGTAAAAAAGGAAAGTGTGTGTTTTTTTTTAATTTTTCATAATAATTTTATAATAATAATTAACTAAATTTTTTTAATGGTTATGTAATGTGTGGGGGATTATGTATATATGTATGGAGGATATTAGAAAAAAAAATCTTGTATATAAGCCTGGTTTTTTTATTACTTCAAATATATTTTTTTTCATTTCATTGTATAATATAATGTTATTAATTTTTTTGTCGCATGAGATATAATATAGTACTATCAGTCTCACTTCCCGTGCCTAAATAAGAAAAAAATTGTTTTTATTATTTATTTCTTGATTTTGGAAGGGTTTATAATTTTTGTTTATAAAATAAGTTTTTGTTTTTATGTTTTTTTTCATATATATGTATGTATATTTTCTTCCTGGGGTTTAAATTTTTTGTGTATCTTTTTGCCTTCCATCATATTATTTTTTTTTTCATATTTTTTCATGTTAATATGTTTCATTTTCCTCATTCTCATTAATTAAAATATATATATGTTCCATGTATATTTATTTATATATGTGGTGTGGTGTATAAATACTCGTTTTGGTTTTATAATTTATTGTAAGGGGACTAATACATGTTTACGGTTGTTGTTGTTTTTTTTTAATTTTTTTTTCAAATCCATGATTTCTCTTGTGGAGAGAGGGGGTGAAGATTTTGTGATGATTAATGTTATGGGGCATTTATATGTAAAAACACTCCGAAAATTTTCGTTTTTGAAAAAATATATATTTTCAAATTTTGAATAAATTTGGATATTTTTCTAGAAGACAATTATTGCATGAGATATTTATTGTATATTTTATTTTTTCCATACATGTAATATTTAAATAATAGGAAATAGTGCTGCGATTTTTACTATACTTGAACAATTTTAAAGAAAAAATATAAAGAAACTTATATTTTTTTCATAAAAGGATTTTTATTAATTTTTTTCTGAAAATCAAAAAATACTTTTTACATATAAAAATATACAACAAAAAAAATATGACATTTACATTTTTTATTAGAAAAACACTTTTTTCATAAAAAATATAGCATGCTATTTTTTCTACTAATGTAAAATATAGCAGACATGATTTTTTGTAAAATATCGCATGCAATAATTTTTTTTAGAAAAAAATATCTCATGATATATTTTTTTTAAATTTGAATATTTTAAAATATTTAAATTATGGAGTATTGATTTTATATATTTTTGTTATGTATGTAAGTATGTGTTTGTCTTAATTTTTATTTTCCTTAATTCTGTTTCCGTTTCCGTTTCCTCCTCATCCTCATCTTTATCTTCATCATTTTATTTTTCTTGTTTTGGTTGTTCAAAAAACTTGAGTGCACAATATGTTAACTTTCATATATGTATCCATTTTTTTCTATATCAAAATTTCAGTTTTATTAGTTATTTCTGTATTTTTGTTTAGTTGAATGGAAGAGGGGGCCAAAAAAATAAAAATTAAATTTTGAAAAAAATTTTCAAGAACAAATTTCCATGTTTTAAAACACACACACGCACATTTATATATTGGCTAATTTAAAAATACGTTTGCCTTTATAACAATGATAAAATTAATATTTATAAAGGATTAAAGGAAAATTATATATTTTTTTATTTATATGTTTTATTTTTTTTTATTAAAAAAAATAATTTTTTATTAAATTTTTATATAAAAAGAAAAAAAATTAAATACAAAAAATATTTTTTTTAATAAAAAATAATTTTTTTTAATAAAAAATTATTTTTTTTTATAAAAAATATATTTTTTATTAAAAAAAATGTTATTAAAAAAAATATTTTTTTTTTAATAAAAAAGTATTTTAAAAAAAATATATATTTTTTATTAAAAAAAAATATTTTTTATTAAAAAAAAATTATTAAAAAAAAAATTAAATAAAAAAAATTTTTTTTTTATTAAAAATATTTTTTAATAAAATATTTTTTTAATAAAAAAAAAAATTTTTTAATAAAAAATTATTTTTTTTTAATAAAAAATATATAAAAAAATATTTTTTATTAAAAAAAATATTTTTTTATTTAAATTTTTTTTTCATATATTTTTTTTAATAATTTTTTTTTAATAAAAAGTAATTTTTTTTTAATAAAAAATATATTTTTTATTAAAAAAAAATGTTATTAAAAAAATAATTTTTTTTAATAAAAAAGTATTTTTTAAAAAAAATATATATTTTTTATTAAAAAAAATTACTTTTTATTAAAAAAAAATTATTAAAAAAAAAATTATGAAAAAAAAATTTAAATAAAAAAATATTTTTTTTAATAAAAAAATATTTTTTTATATTAAAAATATTTTTTTAATAAAAAAATATTTATTAAAAAAAATTTTATTAAAAAAAATATTTTATTAAAAAAAATTATTTTTTATTAAAAAAATATTTTATTAAAAAAAATATTTTTTTAATAAAAAGTATTTTTTATTAAAAACAAATATTTTTTATTTAAAAAAAAATTATTAAAAAAAATACTTTTTTAATAACAATATTTTTTTTTAATAAAAATTATTTTTTTTAATAAAAAATATTTTTTTTAATAAAAAATATTTTTTTTTTAATAAAAAATATTAAAAAAAATATTTTTTTTAATAAAAAATATTAAAAAAAATATTAAAAAAAATATTTTTTATTAAAAAAAAATATTTTTTATTAAAAATTTTTTTTTATTTAATTTTTTTCTTTTTATATAAAATTATTTTTTTAAATAAACAAAATATATAATTTTTTAAATAAAAATATATAATTTTTTAAATAAAAAATATATAATTTTTTAAATAACAAATATATATTTTTTTAAATAACAAATATATATTTTTTTAACTAAATAATTTAAAAACAAATATTTTTTATTAAAAAATATTTTTTTTATTAAAAAAATAATTCTTTTTTAAATATTAATAATTTTATTATATATTTTTTAATTCATATATTTTTATTTTTTTATATATATAAAAAATGTGCACCTTAAAATTTCGGTATAATTTATTTTTAAAACAAATTTTAACAAATAAAAAATGTATATGAATTAAGTTAACAATTAGTGTTTAAATATTTTTTTTTTGCATTTTTTTAAATCTTTTGCTAAGAAAGTCCGTTGTCGTTTGTCTATTTTTTCAAAAAGGGGGGAGTTCCATTTATTATGGGGGTTTGAGTTTGTTTCTATAATTTTTCGATTCTCTTGTCAATTCGTTCGATTTTTTCATTTCGATGCGTTTCTTGATTCCTTCCATCATTATATGCTTTCTCCTTTCCTTCAGATATCTATGGCGGTTTCATTCCAGGTTAATTTTGCTTTATGTTAAAGTATTTCCGTTTCATAGACCTGTTTAGTTGTGGTGGTGGTGTTGGTACCGCTGCTGCCTGTATTGGTTACCGTTCCCGTAGTACCACCATTTGTTGAATTGGCCCTATTTAAAATAATTTTCTCATTGGCCACCAAGGAGGAGGGACCATTGCCGGGAGCAACCACCCCCAGCGTGGTGGTGGTTGTGTTGCCACCTTGGCCATTATCATTAGCCGCTGGGGTTAAAGTTAAACTAATTTTCTGTTGGATATTCGATTCACTGCCCATTTTTTGTAGGGGTACTGGTGCCCCCGCTCCAGCCGCCGATGCTGCAGCAGCTGCCGCCGCCGCTGTCATATCAACCGAGGGCATTTTGCTCATTTGCTGCAAACGCTGATACTGCTCCTGTAGGACCTTCTGTTTTTTGAGTAACTCCTGGTGGCGCATTTCCAAGGCCACCTGACGTTGCATGCTGTCGTTGCCTGATTCGTTGCCGCTTGACGTTTCACCGCCACTGTCAACGGCGGCCGTCGACGCAGCCACCGCCGCCGCCGTTACAATGGCAGCACTGCCACCATCCTTTGCCTCCGTTTCATTTACCGTCGGCATAATTTGTGGTACATTTGGACTTGTGGGACTGGCCAGAGGACTACGGGAACTTATGCGAGGTGGTGGTGGTGGCGGTATGCGTTTGCCCACCTTCATTATCAACTCCGCATTACGTTCGGGTACCGGTGGCTTGGCCACAGCGGTACGCATTATCGGTATGGGTATAATATCACCCTCACATTGGGTGGGCATCGAATGCAAACGCCTTAGACTGGACACATTGGATGCAGTGATTAGGGGTACGACTGGTATGGGTTTATTGACGGCATTGGGTGTGGATGAATTGGCCACATTATTCTGGGCCGTTAGTTCATTGATGCAATTGGCCAGATTGGCTTCGTTTTGATTATACAAATGGGCCTGGGAAATTTGGGTGGTTACGGTGCTTTGTACCAGGGGGGTACTGTCATCGGAAGTGGAATCATCGGGTCGGTTCTGGAAATAAACAAAATTATCAATTTTTTTCTCTTCCTCTCTCACTCCCTCTCTATTGCTCTCTTACCTCATTATTGGCTATTAGAGGCTTTGAAAATGTCTTCAATTCATCTAACAAAGCATCGAGTGCGTTTTCTGGTGGGGCTCCCCCGCCGACAGCGAACGTCCCCATCCGGGGTTGTGGGATTGGCTATTTGGAGTAAAATTTATTTATTTTTATAAAATTATCAAAACGCTTTATTCTCTTAAAGAAATATCCATCAAAATATAGAATTGTAACAAAAAATTGGAGAAAAATTTGTGTTGAATAAATATTTTATTATTTGCAAAGATTTTGAAAAAAAAAATATTGAAAAAATGGTATAATTTTTTTCGGTGAGAGAAATTTGACGATCCCATAATTTTTTAATAAAAAACTGTTTTGTGGATCATAAGTTAAGCCATCATGCGGATTATAGGAGGAATGATCTGCAGCGGCCATCTACTGACGAAATGGGAAACAGTGGCATCGCAGAGACACACACCCGAGGAGAAGATTATATAACACGGCACTATATGCCGCTAGGTGGCTCTGTAAAGACTATCATTTCCAGAGATGGAAAATTATTATTGTTGGAAAAAGTAACGTACTCGACCGGGCCGAACTATTTATGCCCTCCACCTTGATGTTAAAATTTAACATGCCGGAAAACGATCGCGACTTTTAAAAGGAATTATTGTATAGTAAATTGCTGTCAGGAGAAAAAATAATACGAAACTACAGACCCTCGCTAGAAAAATGGGGTTGAAATACCAAAAAAGAGGGTAAAGGACCAAAACTGGGAACGATATTAATAATATTGATCGAAAAAAATTGGAAACCAATAAAAACTAAAAATATGAAAAAATTAATTTGAAATATTCATAATTCGGGGTATATGGGTACCCCGAGGCTACCCTGAATATTAAACCTATAGCTATATTTTTTCTTAGGGAGGTTTTCTACCAAATGAAATTCCAATTTATTAGAAAAACTTACCCATAGTACCAAAATTCGGATGGAGTAGCCCCCATATAGCAATACCAATATTGAGAATTTTTGATATTTTCGAGATTGTGCAAACGGAATGGCAAATATCATTAAGACGCCATCTTGTGGTGGAGGATGTAATAATCAAAATGAAATATATTTTTTATTTAAAGGCAGCGGGACTTCTATAAAAATCTAAATATGAGTAATTATACCATACACTACTACATTGTCAGGGCATTATATTAGACATAGATCCACCTTTTAATATTTTGAGGATGATTTTTTTCAGGTAGCTCTAGAGTCCACAGTTATGATCCGAACATAGCAGGTCAAATTGACTCAGATTTTGTGTTTTAGACCGACCAACTAATTTGAATGGCTGTCATGATAATTAACAGTAAATATTTAGCGATTAAAATGGACTGAAACTTTTTTGTGTAAAAAAATTTGAAACTTATAGAGTAATTGTTTACTCCGAGAAAAGGCGATTCGGAAAAGTTGCCGCCTCGGAGCAGTTGTCCTCTAATTGGCCAAGTAAGTGAACATATCTCTAAATATTACCCTGTTGTTGTGTCACTGTTTTTTATATACATTCGTTTTAAAAACAAACATTTTTGGTGGAACTGAAAGTATTTGATATGATATATGGCCTTCTAGAAAACTTTTATAAACAGATGATATTCTAATTGACCCCACTGTGTTCTGCAGAAGTTCAGTTGAATGAAACGTCTATAGAGTTGTTTTAGATTTTTTATGGTGTGAATTATCTCTGCTGAATTTTATATATATTTTTATAAACATTAAATTTCTATTGGACCTTCAACAGACTTCAGATATTATAGCGAATGACTCGCAGTCTTATTTAAATTCTTCAAAAATATAAAATATATATTTTAGAATTTGATAATTATGCTTTACATTTCTCACCGAAATTAAATTACACAATTTTTTCGTCAAGTGTTTTTTTTTTTAATATAGTAATTTTTTAGCATATTTTTCTGTACATAATTTACACAAAATATTTATAATATTCATATTGGATTTTTAAAAATATGAAAGCTTTCTACAGATATTGTCAATATGTCATATACAGAAAATACATGAAATTTCAATCCAGTTATAACAAGACAAATAAATCAAACCACAGTCAAAACAAGCCATAAGAAACATCCAACAATTAATTCAGCACATTGGAAATAAGGGACTTCGAAAAAGCTTTTCTATGCAAAAATTTCCTCATGCAGTTAAAAATAAATTTTTTACAATTGTCCACACAATATTTACAAAATAAATAAACGAAATTATCGTCCATATAATATTTAAAAATTATATCTTGATTACAAAATCATGAATAATAAGCTACAAATGATTGAAATAATTTACAAAAGTTAAGAACTAAAAAGACGAATATTTTTTTGTGGATTGTGGAAGGTGAGGGACAGATTATGGTTAATGGTAGATGGATGGAGAGAGTGAAGGACAGTTTCTTTCAGCTAGGAAATCATTAAACAAATTTACTTTTAAAAGAGTATATTTAAATTCACACATACGTAACTATTTGCGTCAGATTTGTTTTAATAAAATATTCATTTAGATTATCAATTCTCTTGATAATTAAGTTTTCCGTATTTTGTAGGTCTTTAAATTTGTTTAATGATTTGATTTTTTTTATAACATTTATATATTAATTTTTCACGTTTCCTAAGAAAACTTCACCGACTAAAAACATCAATGCTAAATATCACATTGAATACTAATTATTATGATTTAGTTACGCCAATTTCCATTTAATTACATTCAACATTTAAAATAGTGTCAGTTTTATTATGAAAACAAACATGAAATGATAAAATTTACAAATGAAAATGACTACAGATAAATTGAGTTGAGTTGTGATTTTAAATGGCAAATTACAGTACTGAGTATATTCAAAACCAAATGCGCAAATTCGCCATAGTTCAAGAATGATTAATTTTTTTCTAAAAATTAAGAAACTTATCCATGGTTACGGCTATTGGAAGTTATTATTGATATGGCATGTCTTTAATTAAATCAAATGAGAGATATTTTTGTAAAACAATTTATCCTTGTATCTCAAGTCCTTGTGAATATTTTCGTCAGTATTTTTTGGGCCTTAAACTAAATGTCAAAAGGCGAGATATTTTGACGATTGACTCATAAAGTCTTCAAAGATAAGAAATCGATATTTGGATGCTAACATAGACCTCTTCAATCCTTATCTATGAGCACTAAATAAAATTCGTTTAGAATGTATATTATGAAGATGTGGCGCATTCGTACGAAATATTAGATTGGGGGAAAAGAAATCCATTAGGAAAATGTCGATAAAATCGTGGAAATGATCGAAGTTAACCGGCATGTTAGCAGTCGTAACATCGCTCAGGAGCTAGAAATCGACCATAAAACTGCTTTAAACCATTTACACGCAGTTGGATTTAAAAATAAGCTCCATGTTTGGGTGCCACACCAATTAAAAGATAAAACCTGTGAGCCGAGGAGTATAGTCGGACGGGGCCGACCATACTCTATCTTTCTTCGGTTTTTTATTCCAGGCCTGGGTAACATTTCGTGATAGTTGCATCCTCTTGCCCGATTAGAGGTCAACAGCACCTCTTCATTACACTGACATATTTTCCGAATATTACCAATATTCAGTACTGCCCTTCTAATTACTTGTCCAGATTCCCTTCACCGTAAGTTGTGTTGTGATGTTCAGCTTATAATTGTAGCCTATAAATCGAAATTAAAGCCTATAAATCGAAAAAAACATGGTAATGGTTTATTAAATAATATCTGAATACGTAAAAACTTGTAAATGTTTACGTGTAACTCCCACATCCAATTTAAAGGTCAAACACTCCTCTTGGATATACTATCAACTTCTCGGGTATATGTCCTTCAGAAGTAAATATATACGCTATAGAAAACACATTTTGTCATTTTTCATACAAAAGTCAGGTTCTATTTGACCCGCTAAATATTGACCGATCTTTATTAAAATAGGCATGCTTATTCTTTGGCTCAATCCCCTTCCCCTTGTAACAATTCGAGATGTTTGGCCCATAATGGCGGCCTCTAGAGCTACCAGAAAAAAAAACAAATATTAAGTATTTGGTCCATTCATCGCCTAAACATGAACCGATCATTACCAAAAACATTAGGCGTCTTCATTGTGCAGAACCCATCCGACATTCAAAATTTCGTGAAGATTGGTCAATAACTGTGACACACATGCCTAGATCGACTCAGCTAGTCGAGATATGACGACAACATAGTTGTGTAGGGTATAAATAGGATGGGTCGAAGTTCCATCTGCGAAGCCTTGGCCAAACGCAATGAGATAGACCCATTTTTCAAACGGATGGTGACTGTTGATGAGAAATGTATCACATACGATACCCCTGTGCGAAAACGATCGTGAAAGAGCGGTGAAGCACAGCCAAGCCAGGACTAACGGCCAGGAAGATTCTGCTATGCATTTGGTGGGACTGGAAGGGGGATTATTTATTATGAGTTGCTTCCATATTGATTTAGATGTTTTAATTTTTTCCACGATGTTTCGATTCGAAAATAGGGTAGACATTAAAAAAATCCCTCATCATTAGAAATATTTTTTTTTCTATGATCTGCATTACTCGAGATTTAAAAAAAAAGTTTTTGAGGATCCTATATTAGAGTGGATTTTTAAGAATGTTTTATTTTGATTTTTTTTAAATATTTTTTGACTCCTACTTGCAAAAACTTAATTTGTTTCTTAAATTTGGTCATAATTCAATTGGAATTTGTAATATTAATAATCCCATCTCTGAATATTCCGTTATATTTCTGAACGATCCTTGCAACCACAGTGCCACCTATGGACGTCTAGCAGTAACACACCTACGGATTGTGTCTGTAATAAATGATTGTCCTAATATTAACGCCGATGTTTAACCAGCAGATGGCGCCCAATGTAAAAATATTGATTTTTTAAGACATTAGTATAAATTTAATAATACCCAAACAAAAAATGCGGACTTCTGCATAAAAAATAATTTTTATCTGATTGGAATATTTTATAATTATCAATTTATAATTTTTTTCTTTTTACCAAATTTTATTTTTTTCTGAAAATCTGTTTTTCTAATCAGACTATGGGACTAATTAGTGCGTAA